GGATGTTTTCTTCTGTGTTGGTAATTTTTTGGTGGGTCCATTTAAAAAACACACACAACTGTTGTAAGACAGAAGCACATGCAAAGGAGGGAGACCTGGACGGAGACCACGTTATTTGCAGATGATGGACCAGGGATGCTGTTGATCGGGGAAGGCCTATCCTCCGGTCCCAAAGGCCCAGACTAAGCCGTTCTGTGGGCACAAGCAGGATGTGGGCTCCGCTGCTGAGGGGTTTCACAGGCAGCTTGGAAAAGCACCTGACGTGTTCCAGCCGAAAAGAGAGGGTTCCTTGTCTGCAAGGTGGAAAGCGGAGGCCGCCCCACGTTAAATGAAGGTCAGAGGGGAAAGCCTCTAGGTCCCATCCAGCTCCGAGATTTCAGCTCTCTCTAGTGTTCTTCATCCTTTCATTTATTCAGCAAATACTCATCAAGCATCTGACAGGCTGCCGACACTGGTCTAAATCCTGAGGGTGCAACAGAGTGTGAAACAGTTCCTGCCCACTCGTTACTTCCATTCAAGGGGAAAGACAGCCAATTAAGAAATTAATTAATACACTAATAATGTCAGGTGATGATAAGTAATATAAATGAAAATGAAGCAGAGTAAGACGTGTTATTGAGTATAGGGTGTTCAAGAAAGACAAAGAAGTGACATTTGAGCAGAGATTTAGAAGGAGAAGTAATGGATGCATGAGGGCTGGGGTCAGCAGGAGCCAACCAGGAAGGAAGAAGGACAAGCATCCAGGCCCTGAGGTACACGGCTTGACTAAGGACCTGAATGTAATGAATTGATCTAGCTGTGGGCCGAATTTCTCACCTACACAGTTTATGAGCTGTTGGATCTATTGATCTCATTTTTCAATATCATCATAAGAGCTGTAGTTTACTAAGTACCTACTATGTGCCGTGCTTTGCTAAACAGCCTTATGTATTTTACTTCTAATTCTCACAACACTGCAAGTTAGGTCTTACCGTTCCCATTTTAAAGATGGAGAAACTGAGGCTCAGTGCTTCCTCTCAGTCTTTTGACCTACCTCTAATCCACTCCGTTGGGAAAGTACGCAGTTCACAGTTGATTGTTAAATGCCCGAGGTGCATGTATTAGCCCAATGCACCCTTGTTTACAAAAATATACTGAAGACTAACAGGATAAAATTGCACCTGAAACCACGGTCAGGCCTAGATTGCTTGTGTCCTTAAACTTGAGGAGGAAAGGTACTGTAGGCACTTTGCAGGAACAGTTTCTTTTTTTGAATTCGCTCATCGAGCGTCCTCTTTCAACATGCTGAATTTTAGAATTGAATGCATATAAGCAAAACCCATGGACACAGACAATAGGGTGATGAAGGCCTGGGGTGAGGGGAGGGGGCCTTGGGGCAGGCTAAAAGGTATCAATGGGGGAAAGGGAGGACATATGTAATACTTTCAGCAATAAAGATTTTTTTAAAAAGCTTGCAGAATTTGAAAGTAGGATAATGTCCTTTCCTTTGCTACTCCTTAATATCTCTAATTCTTAGCCTAGACATTTCAACAGGCAAAATCGTTTACCCTAGCGCCTTGGAAATGTATGTTCTGAGTTGACATAAACTTCCGTACGTTCCCAAGAAAGTAATGCAAACAGCGGAAGAGGATCGAGGGTGTTCCCCTGCAGAGTAAGGGCACGGTCAGGGACACTTCAGTCAGCAAACGCTGTGATGTGTGTGTGTGTCTGCACCAAAACGCCCATGTGGTTCTTCCAACAACCCTTCCTGGTCAGCATCATCGGGCATTTCCGGTCCTCCAGCTTGTGGGGCCCTGGGAGGGACCCTGCTCTCTGTGGCTCTCAGTGGGGCCTGTGCACAAGGGTGGGATTGTGTGCAACAGGCGCTCATTCCAACTGCCCAGAGCCCCTTGACAAAGACTTCCAGTTTGTCGTCCCTTGCAGGGGAAAGGGCGCGCTCCAGCTCAGAGAATGCTGTGTCTCCCACACCCAGCTACTCCCACTTCCTGCCTCCTGACAGCTGAAGGTTTTAAGGCGCTCTTTTTTAGCACAGCTCTTCAAAAATGCAAATGAGACTTGAAGTCATGTCACAGAAGCCAGCTCCCTGTCCTGCCCCTGCCCGGTAGGGCTGGTGTGCAAGTGGGGCCCCAGGTGATGCCAAGAGGAGGCCACTCACGGCGCAGCTCTCTCCGCTTCCCATTTCTTAAAGCGATGCCGGCCATCTGGGAGCTCGTGTTCTTGGTGTTTGTGATTTTCAGGTTTCTGTTCATAAAACATTTGTTTCTCAGAGCTGCTGACAGGTGATAATAACAAAAATGAAACTGATTTGAATTTGAATTTTGTTACCAATTTACTACAGTTGGCGGGGCGGGGCCGGCAGGGAGGGCACGGATTACCCTGGGCCCTTGGGCTGGTCTGAGGTTTGCCCACAAGTCACAAGGCACCCCTCCCGCCTTGCAGGGTTGGCCAGGGTTGGTGTGAATACCAATGAAATAATGTCTGCAAAGCAACCAACACCGTTTTCCTTCTCCTTCTCGCAGCAATTACGGTCATTCCAGAGGAGCCGATGCTTGGGAAATGCAAGTTTCGGTCTTGAGTGTACACAGACGTTTATATAGATTTGTTCCTCCAAAGGAGGCACTGTTTATGGTCATAGTCAACGTGGAGGGTCTGAAATGCAACTTCTACTTCATAACCCGTTTATGGAGTTGGAGACGCTGCTTTATCAATGAGTGCACCAGTTCGCCTGTGTGTTGTCTGTCTGTCACTGGGCCCAAGTCTTCCTCGTGGATGAGGGGCCCTCTGAACCCCATCCTGGCCAGCTGGGCCTTCACTTCAATGTGAGGCCTGCGTTAGATAGAAGAAGGGAAGGGACTTAGGTGTCTGCCATAGACGTTTTATTCGAGAGCGTGTACGTGTGGCCTGTCTTGGGTGCAAGGCTGTGGTGGGAGGAAGGAGTCCCTGACACCTGTCAGGTCACAGTTTAGGACCTCAGTCCTCACCTGTCAGTCGCAGGAAGGGGTCCCTATTCCTCTGCCGGGGGCTGAACGAGCACGCAGTTTAATAGTCATAATAACACCAGCAGCTAATATGTATTGACTACCTGCCAGGCACTGTGTTTTTTTCCACTTGATCCTGATCATGACCCCCCAAGGCAGAGACGACGATTATCCCCAGGAAACCAAAGCCCAGTCATTTGCCGACGTCACACAACAGCGTGTGTCCCCATATGCACTGGAAATGTGTCCTCTGTCCTTTCTTTTGAAAAGTCCATGAGCCCTGCCTTTGCCCTCCAGCTGAACGCCCCGTGCCCACTTACAGGTCTACTCCGGGGCCTGTGAGGAGAGCCCCACCTGGTAGGTGGGCTTCTAGCATAGCGTTGCTATGTCCGGATGTGTCCTGCTTCCCACACTGGGGAATAAACTCCCAACAGCCAGGGCCCGTGAGGTTCTCCTTTCTCACTCTTCACCATGTGGCCCGGGGGGTGTCTCCTGATGGGTCCCCATTTGCTTGGGAGGGGTCCCAGGGAGGCCGTCACTGTGGGGTGACTGCTGAGCGCACTCTTCTCTTCTCAGGGAGGTCGTTGCCCAGTTTCTCTGCCCAGGAGGCGTTTTCATGCAGCGAATAAAACCAGCCTGGCGACCACACTGGGGTCAGGCACTCCGCAAGTAGCAGGGGGAGAGCTGGCAATCAGACGGTGGAGGAAACTAAAATACACTAATGAATGTCAGGCACTATGGGATCACTTTACTACTATTAATTCATTTAATCTCCAGCAACCCTGTGAAGTAGGGACTGTTGTTTGTTTCATTGTACAGGTGGGGAAACTGAGACCCAGAGAGGTAACTTAAGTGAGATCCCAGAGCTAGTAAGTCCGAGCTAGGATCACCCTTCAGCCAGATGGTCCAATAATTCATCACGACGACAGTTAAGTATTAGGAGAATGGGAAATGCTCCCAATATACAGATACTGTGACAAAGAAACATGTAATACACTTGGTAAATAGTTTTATGCAAAATTATTATATTCTTTAAGTTTGAGATGCTTTTATGAATAAGTTCTAGTTATTGAGAAAATTCTGTTTTTGAAGGAATAGTTCCCCCCCCCCAAAAAAAAATTGAAACATATAGCGTGTATTTTAAAAGAAAAAGGACAAAGGATGCAAACAGTATTAATGGTGACTTCTACAAAGCCCTCGTCTGCGACATTGTGATGCGGGCAGGTGTTCTGTTCCTGTGATGGATTACAGACCAGGAAGCTGTGGGGTTCGACCGAGGCAACCCAGCCAGGTCAGAGGTGGAGCTTAAACCCCAGTCCTCAGGGCGCCTTCATACAGTTTACGTCCTGCTGGAAAGAAGATGAAATATGTTCACATGTCGCAATTGCATAGAGTCCGCAGGCCTTCTTGTAAGCGAATGAATCAAAGGCATTTTTGTCTTTCTGGTGCATCCCACACATGCCAAACATAGTCTTAAGATATGTTATAGTCATTGAGTCCTTGTTGTTGTTTTAATCCTGTTTTAATTTAGAATGGATTAAAACTAAGACATCCCTGGATTACTCCATCCCCTTCATTAAATTGTAAATTCCGGGCACGGAGACGCAGCTATCAGATGTGAGCTGCCCTGGCCCCAGCGGAAAGCGCCTTGTTCCTTGTCCATTTCCGTGTCTCTTGTTGATGAGAAATTGGCCTCCTGAATGGAGCATCCATGTGCTCCTCTCTCGGTGAAAGGCTGGGTCCTGTATGGTAGTATGAGTTCTTACCCACAGAAAGTAAGGGCTTATTTGGGGCTTGGTCAGATTGCCATGCCTTGAAGTCTCTGCAGTTTATAAATTGGTCTATACAGTTTCTAAACAGGTCATTATGACGCATCTATCCTGTTGGCCGGTGGTCGCTGATGAGTTCTGGGGTTTGGTGCAAGGAGACAGGAGCCGACAGAAAATGGATACAGGAGTGACTGTGTCAGGCTCTGCTTGGAATTTCTCACTCACACGTCACTCTCTTCCTTTCTCCTTCCAGGGTCGAGATTACTGTTCGGAAGAAGAGGATATCACATAGCACCGACCTGACACCCGAACCAGGAGCTACTACTGTGTAAATAGGTGACACCCCAGTCGAAATCTCTGCAAAGGTCGGTCCTCTTCACGGAACAGCACTATAGCAAAAGAAGATCGTTCCATATCGTATGCCCCATTAAATTACAGTGTTTCCTAATGAACTCGCAAAGGAATATTGCTAAAAAAACAAACAAAACAAAACACAAAAAAAACCTGTCATTGAACTTTCTTTGTTGCTGCTAGTTAAAACCTGTTGCAACTTTTCACTTCTCTCGTGTCCAGGTGTGCAGCAAAATTCTGCGATTTCACCTTAAAGATACTGTCGGTCTTACAGGGGCTCTCCAGCCCGTTTTCTATGAGATGAGGTAGTGGTGAACTCAGCTATCGGACTTCTGTTCTCGGGCGGTCCCACTTCTAAGCGTCTCCTTCCCTCTCTCCTTCCTCCCTGTCTGTCCCAAAGTGGTCCAGAGCCTTGCTTCTCGAGGGCGGGCGATGTTGCGCTTTGGAGATGGGATGGTTGCCACGGCAAGCCTTGGTTCCCCGCTACGCAGCGGCAGAAAGCATGCTGTGACCTGACTCCTGGGCACCACCCAGGAGCCCGCAGCAGGCTGTTTCGTTTACTGGGGTATCTCCATCGAGCAGTGAGCTCGCGACATTGGCTTTGCTCAGAGGCAGATGGACGTGTGATCACAATCATTTCAAATCCCTCTCCCCCACTTTTTTTTCTAAGGAAATAAACATTTTACTGTTTTTATGTATCCTTGTCTTCTCCCATTCATCCAGTTCAGTGTGCTCCGATGCTCCTGGGTGCGGAAGAGGAGCCCTCCTTTGCCGTGGCGCCGAGACTTGGCCTAATGGCTTCGTACCCCTCCCAGGGGTAAGCGACCACGCATTAGCTGGGCCGCAAGTGGTCAGAAGAGATGAGGGGACCCCCCACGACTTTCTAGGAGGGCCCGAAGCCACCCTGTCACCTTTTTATTAGCAAAGAAACCATCCTACTTCCTACTTCTCCCCCCTCGGTGACCCAGAGCCTGGTCACTTTATGTCCCCCTCCTTGTAGCCCTGGATAGGACAGTGAGAAAGGGTTCCCTCCCTGAGAACGTAGCGCATTGACCCTCGGAGGAGGTCTGGAGGCCGTCGTGGGCGATGTGAACTGTGGTTTGGTAGAGTTTATTTTTCCATATTATACGAAGAGAATGATCTCTTCCCAAAGACAGAAGTAATATTTTTAACAAATGTTGTCACAAGTAAATAGCCATCAAAAGGAGAAAAATAACTTTTGTATTTTTTTAACGCATTTGATAGCTGTGACGAGGGTTGTCTTTGCTACTTCCTGGGGAGGGCGCCTTATATTCAATGCTACGCCCGCAGTCCGGGTTCCAGTTTGTCCCACGGAAACACAGAAGGGGCGCTGTCTGTCTGCCTGTGTCTCTCTTTGGGGGTTGTGAGTGGGAAGGGCCTCGCCATCGGCCTCCCTCCGAAGGTGGGTAGTTGGTATGTTCTGGGAGTCGAGCGATCGCCTGCCACAGAATAGAATCAGAGTCTAAATTTGTTCTCCCTGAGAGGAGGAGCCTTGACTTTAAAATCCACCCACGTGGCCCGTAGCCGAGGGCACCACGAGCTAACGGTGAGGTCCCTGGTCTCCTTGTAGACCCAGGGCGCCAAGGGGAAAGGCAGGAAACTCAGTGAAGAGCGATAGAAAAGGGACTCACACGCTAGCAGCAAGAGCCCTTCCTCCTTCCAGCCAGCAGCAGCTATTCTGGGGAGCAGCTGCGGTTGTTACATAAATAGAGACGCAGCCAACATGCAAGGCTTTTTATCCTGCTTCAAGCAGGAAAATGCCGGGAGAGTCGAGTCACCCCGGGGTTTTAAGTTCCCTCCCTGTGTATGGTTTTGGCCAAGTGACTAAAACAGTTTTTCTCAACCGTAAGCGAACTGCTGAGCCCTGAGCCCCACCTCCAACGTGTCCATGGAGGACTGTGCTCACTGCTGTGCCGATGACCTGGCCCCGGAATTTCTTGTTCTTAGGAAGCAAACGCTCGCCGTCTCCCATGTCACTCCTCCACTGGGTGTCTCAGGGAGTGCCTTCCCTGAAAATCTCCACCTTCTGCCCGAGGACGAAACGTGCTCGTGTCATTCTGCTGACAGTCACGTTTAGCATGTTGACATGACACACGTGTGCACAGCACCCAGTGGTTCTTGGGAACCTGGCGGGTGAGTGTTTTGTGACACCAGAAACTGGTTCCCGGGAAACTCGGACTTTTCACCTGGAGGTCTGTCTTCTGATGTCGATGCCGGAGACGTCTTTGAAGTACAAGAGCGATTTTATCTGCAGACGCTTTGGGGACCGCTAGAACTAGATCTAAGGCATGGGGGGCTGAGCCGGTTGGCAAGACGTGCCGGATGATGTTAGCAACACGCAGAGCTGTCTGTTTCCCATCCCTTGGTTTCAATCATAAAATTGTCAAGTGATTTGTGTTTGTACGTTATATATATAAATTTTTTATGCCTTTCTGAAAGGGTCGAAAGCAAAAAATATTTTGCCGTTTTTTCCCCCCCTGCGTATCTGAACCGTAAGCAGATTGTCTCAGATACAATGAAAAGAATAATCCAGAAGCTTCTGCTGGCTGTGATCTCTGAGGCTCAGGGAGAAGGAAGGAGGGAGGGAGGGAGGGCGGGCGGGAAATGGCCTGGCGGGCAGAGGTAGAAGGATGAGAAATGGACTGAGAGCATTTAGAAGAGAGGGCGGATGGAATGGCCGAGTGCCGGGCGCAGCTCCACACCCAGCTGCCCAGCGGCCAGTGGGTGGGGCGGGCTGTCAGCAAGATTTACAGCTGGATTCCACCGGCCTTGTGTGCTCTGAGCTGTCGAGTTGTAAAAGTTCAGCAGTGTATGCGGGCTTTCTTTGGGTTGGCGGAGACGCAGGATCACGGAGTACTGCTGTCCTCAATGAATGCGTGTTTGTTGCTGGCGGAGAACCCTGAAGGAGGCTCTTACCTCGGCGATGCCTCCTAGACCCAGCGGGGGCACAGAGCGGTGATGTGGTCTATTTAAGGGCAGAGAAGGTATGAAGTCTAGAGATGAGAAGTTTAGAGACGAGGTCGGCCCTCGAACCGGCAGTGGCCACCCCCGGGCCTGCTGCGTCTCTCCCATCTGCAGTGCCCATGGCCTTCGATGACTCACATAAGAGGTGACCTGGCTGAGAAGCAGCTGTGGTTAGTTATTTAGTCCTGGGCGCTGGTGCCAGCCTCTTCCACACTGTGAGGCAAGGAGGCACCTCTATCCGGGGCTCCCCAGGGTCAGGAGTGGCCACGCCTGCAATCTGACAGCCCCCGGGGGCAGGCCCAGGGATGAAGGCCCCACTCTTGGTCCCACGTGATGCCATTCACTGTGAGTTATAACCTTGTTCCCCTTCCAACCTCGTTGAGACTTTTTTTTTCCTGCTAGAGCCAGACTCTCCCTTATGCCTGTTAAAAACAGAGATGATTCCCCCTACGAATTTTAGGTCAAGAGCCTGGGATGCAGGCTGGCATATTGATTACAAGCCCTGCTTAGACATCAGGCAAGAATTTAAAAGGGTGTTTCATCTCTACTGGTCTTAGAAAGAAGCTAGATTTAGAAAAGAAGCTAGATTCAGTTTTATAGGAAGAACGGTTGTTGAGTTCTTAATCCAGGAAAATACCGACTCTGAATCTTGGATTCCGGGGCCCTCACATGTTTGTTATGAAAGACAAAACAATTGGGTTCTAAGGCTCGCTCCTTCCTTCTCCCAACTCCCTCGTTTAAAAAAAAAAAGTATTAGATTGCACTCTATAATTTTACATTAAAAATCTGCCTACCATGCTTTTCCCCCTGGAAGGCATTCTCGGAGCTTTATTTCTTTGTACCTCTCAGAAATTAAACTTTTTAAGTTGCTTAAACCCCGAGACAAAATAAGGCGTGGTGTGGGGGAGGGAATATATGCTTAAGGGCATAATGAAAAGGGGACTTCTCGATGTCACAGGTCGACCAGTGGCCCCCACACTCCTGTGTAAGGCTGAGTGAGGCAGTCAGCTCTCACACTGTCCCTGCCACAAACCTTTGGAGTTTTGTGAACGAGGTCTATGAACTGTTGCCTTGTGCCAATGAAAGGACGTGTTTTTCCAATGGGAGGAAAAAAAGTCCACGGTCACCTTTTTGTGTGTCTCTGGAAAAGGGCCAAAAAAGCTCTGGCAGACAATGAGGATTATAGGTGACTATGTTGCCTTCTGTGACAAACCTTCGGGCTCACTGCCCATGCTGTGTTTTTCCAGGGACCCTTGTACCTTATCTGGACTCTAATCTAATCTTGGGGAAAGAAGAAAAGGAACTACTATTTATTATTGATACTCATGCTGTGCCAGATACTGTGCTAGGCATTTTGTAACCGTTTTGTGTAACCCTCACAACGCCCCTGTGCCGTGAGCCCATGCCCCCCTATGTTCTCAGTGGTGTGTCTATGTGCAGAATGCATCTACCCCAACATAAATGCCCCTGTTGGAAGAAGGAAAGATGTCCTTCTGGTATCCCCCCAGTTTCTTTAATATGTCTATGCCCTTTGCAACACTGTGAAAACTGCCCCGTGGGGGCACCTACCTTCCAGAATCTCTCTTGGGCTCATCAGCAGCGTGGTTGCCCCAGGCGGAGTGTTTGACATGGCCTTCCGGTATCTGATGAGCTGCGCACAAACAGGAGAGGCCGCTGGCTCATAGGACACGAGTGCCCCGAAGGGGAAGGCTTTGGGGATTTAGGCACCTGTCTCTCCCTGGGAACTTTTTCCGCACCTGGAAAAGGAACCTGGTACTTCTGCGGTTAGACGCCAGATGCAGCCAGGACAGGCGTCTGAGTGCGGGCGCTGTTTTCCTGGTCCCCAGGCTCCCTTTCTCACAGCCTGCATCTTTTCAAGGTGAAGGCTTTGACCTTGCAGAGCAGTTTGGGAGAAGCTGATCGCCAGAGATGGAGAAAAGGCCTGGACCGTTGACTTGAAATCCTTTCTTGTGGGCTAGGGCTTGGTGTTTCTCTTTGATCTTTGAAATGTGGGTCTGGAATTTTCCAGACTAGTTTAAGCACTGAAACTAGATGTGAATCTCTTTCGAGACCGTAAGTGTTTGGGATAGTCCTGTAGTGACTTGGACATCATTTAAATAACTTGTTCCACGGTCAGCAGAGCCCAGGAACTCCAGAGTTCCTCTCCTTGCTCCTAAAGGAGCACCATCTAAAGACGACTCACGTCTCCAACCTCACTGAGTTAGCTCCACGGAATCAGAAGAATTTCATGTGTAGAGGGGGCCCTATGGCCAGTTTTCCCATGAAAACTGTCCCCAAGATTCTGACCCAGTGGCTGTCGGATTCATTCAACATAATGTAGGCAATGGCTCTTGGCTCTTGGAAGCCAGAGAAATTGCTTTAATTCAGCAAGATTCACCCCTAAAACCAAAGGCCTCATTCTAATACTATCTTTCCACTCTAACCAACCCTGAATTCTCCCTTCTTCCTTTTCCAGGGGTTATTTTTAGCCCACGGCTTTGAACTTGATTAAGACTTGGGAGGCAGTGAAAAGAGCACGGTAAACTCAGCCAGAACTGCCTTAGGGTCCCTGGGGTTAAAAATAGCTGTGGAGCCTGGGGGCCGCTTGGCCTCAACACAGAAGTGACAGAACAGCCCCTGGTTTCCTGCATTTTGGTCCAGACCTTCAGGGACTGCTCTCTCTCCACTGCTCGCTCTCTCTCTCTCTCTCTCA